GGCTCAGGCAATTCTCATGCCTGAGCTTCCCAAATAGCTGGGATTATAGGCATGCACCACCACGCCCAGCTAGTTTGCATTTTTTTTTTTTTTTTTTTAGTGGAGTTGGCGTTTTGCCATGTTGGCCGGGCTGGTCTCCAACTGTTGACCTCAGGTGATCTGGCCGCCTCCATCTCCCAAAGTGCTAGGATTACAGGTTTGAGCTACCACACCCCAACCTTTTTATTTTATTTTATTTTTTAACTTTTTTACTTCAATAGTTTTGGTGGAACAAGTAGTGTTTTGTTGCATGGAAGAAAGTTATTTAGTGGTGATTTCAGAGTTCACCTGAGCAGTGTACACTGTACCCAATGTGTAGTCTTTTATGCCTCACCCCCCCCCCCACCCTTCCTCCTTGAGTCCCCAAAGTCCATTGTATCATTCTTATGCCTTTGGATCTTAATAGCTTAGCTCCCACTTCTAAGTGAGAACATACAATGTTTGGTTTTCTATTCCTGAGTTACTTCTCTTAGAATAATGGTCTCCAACTCCATCCGGATTGCTATGAATGCCATTATTTTTAACCTTTTTATGGCCGTGTAGTTTTCCATAGTATATATCTATATACCACATTTTCTTTATCCACTTGTTGGTTGATGGACATTTAGACTGGTTCCATATGTTCACAGTTGCAAAATGTGCTGCAACACATACATGTGTGCAACATGTATGCACAAGTGTCTTTTTCATATAATGATTTCTTTTCCTCTAGGTAGACAGCCAGTAGTGAGATTGCTAGATCAAACTGTAGTTTGATCTTTTAGTTCTTTAAGGAATCTACTTTTGGTTCTTTAAGGAATCTCCATACTATTTTCTTTAGTGGTTATACTAGTTTACATTCCCACCAGCAGTGTCTAAGTGTTCCCTTTTCACCATATTCATGCCAACATCTATTATTTTTCGATTTGTTAAATATTGGCCATTCTTGGAGGAGTAAGGTGGTATCTCATTGTGATTTTTATTTGCATTTCATTGATTATTAGTGATGTTGAACATTTTTTCATACGTTTGTTGGCCGTTCATATATCTCCTTTTGAGAATTGTCTATTTATGTCCTTTTCCCACTTTTTGATGGGATTATTTGTTTTTTTCTTGCTGATTTGTTTGAGTTCCTTGTAGATTCTGGATATTAGTCCTTTGTCAGATGCATAGTTTATGAAGATTTTCTCACACTCTCTGTGCTGTCTGTTTGCTGATTATTTCTTTTGCTGTGTGAAAGCTTTTTAGTTTAATTAGTTTAGTCCCATCTATTTTTGTCTTTGTCATATTTGCTTTTGGGTTTCTAGTCATGAACCCTTTGTCTAAGCCAATGTCTAGAAGAGTTTTTCTGATGTTATCTTGTAGAATTCTTGTGGTTTCAGGTCTTAGATTTAAGTCTTTGATCCATCTTGAATTGGTTTTTGTGTGAGAGATGAGAATCCAGTTTCATTCTTCTACATGTGGCTTGCCTATTATGCCAGCACCATTTGTTGAATAGGGTGTCTTTTTCCCTCTTTGTTTTTGTTTGCTTTGTTGAAGATTAGTTGGCTGTAAGTATTTGGCTTTACTTCTGAGTTCTCTATTCTGTTCCATTGGTGTGTGCCTATATTTATACCAGTACCATGCTTTTCTGGTAACTATAGCCTAGTTTGAAATGAAATAATGTGATGTCTCCAGATTTGTTCTTTTTGCTTAGTCTTGCTTTGGCTGTGCAGTTTTTTTGGTTCCTTATGAATTTTAGGATTTTTCCCCTTAGTTCTGTGAAGAATGATGGAGGTATTTTGTTGAGAGTTGCGTTGAATTTGTAGATTGCTTTTGGCATTATAGTCATTTTCACAATATTGATTCTACCCATCCTTGAGCATGAGGTGTGTTTCCATTTGTATGTGTCATCTGTGATTTCTTTCAGCAATGGTTCATAGTTTTCCTTGTTGAAATCTTTCACCTTCTTGGTTAGATATAATCCTAAGTGTTTTATTTATTTTTTTTTTTTTTTGCAGCTGTTGCAAAAGGGGTTGAATTCTTGATTTGATTCTCAGCTTGATCATTGCCGGTGTATAGCAGTGCGGCTGATTTGTATGCATTGATTTTGTGTCCTGAAACTTTACTGAATCCAGTAAAGATGTCATAGATGGTTTTTATTATTTTGAGAAATGTCCGTTCTATGCCAGTTTTGCTTATTGACTTGTGTATGTTAAACCCTCCCTGTATCCCTAGTATGAAACCCACTTGATGGTGTATTCTTGATCACGGGATGTTGGTTTGTTTTTAGTTTATTTTTATTTTGTTATATCCTTTCCTAGTTTTGATGTTAGGGTTATACTGGCTTCATAGAATGATTTAGGGAAGATTATCTCTTTCTCTATCTTTTGGAATAGTTTTAGTAAGATTGGTACCAGTTCTTCTTTGAATGCCTGATGGAATTCAGCTCTGAATTCATCTGGTCCTAGACTTTTTTTTGTTTGCAGTTTTTAAAATTATTGTTTCAGTCTTGCTACATGTTATTGGTCCATGCAGAGTTTTCATTTCTTCCTCATTTAATCTAGGCAAGTTGTATATTTCCAGGAATTTATCCATCTCCTCTAGATTCTCTAGTATCTTTTCCCGCCCCTTTACTTTATGTGAGTCCTTATTTGTTACTTGAGTGTCTTGAAGACAGCCGATACTTGGTTGGTGGATTTTTAACCATTCTGCCATTCTGTATCTTTTAAGTGGAACATTTAGGCCGTTTATATTGGACGTTAATATTGAGATGTAAGTACTATTTTATTCATTGTGTTATTGTTTTATGGGGCCTGTGAGATTTATGCTTTAAGGAGGTTCTATTTTGGCATATGTTGAGGTTTTGTTTAAAGATTTAGAACTCCTTTTAGGGTTTCTTGGTAGTACTGGCTTGGTTGTGGCAAATTGTCTCAGCATTTGTTTGTCTGAAAAAGACATTCTCTCTTCTTCATTCATGAATCTTACAGTTTTGCTGGGTACAAAACTCTTGGCCGGCAATTATTTTATTTGAGGAGGCTAAAGATAGAACCCCAATCCCTTCTGGCTTGTAGGTTTCTGGAGGGAAATCTGTTGTTGATCTAATAAGTTTTCCTTTGTTGGTTACCTGATGCTTTTGCCTCACAGCTCTTAAGATTCTTCCCTTTGTCTTCACTTTAGATAACCTGATGACTATATGCCTGGGTGATGATATTTTTGCAATGAATTTCCCAGGTCTTAAGCTTTTTGTATTTGGATTTTTATATCTCTAGTGAGGCCAGGGAAGTTTTCCTCAATTGTTTTCTTAAATATGTTTTTCCAGACTTCTAGGTTTCTCTTCTTCCTCAAGAACACCAGTTATTCTTAGGTTTGGCTGTTTAGCATAATCCCAAATTTCTTGGAGGCTTTGTTTCTTATTGTTTTTTGATTCTTTTTTCTTTGTCTTTGTTTGATTGGGTTAATTCTATCACCCAGGCTGGAATGTGGGTTGGAGGGAGGGTTGCAGTAGAGTCAGCTCCACCCAGTCCACATGGTTTCTACACATGGGAAGGTGTAGAATGACTGACTACAGTATTCATGAAAACAGGATGTTTTCATATTTATTTTATATCTCAACTGGTACCCGAAAGAAATATATACACAGAGCATACATCACAATGTGCCTTTTTCCTCATTTCATTCAAGAGAGATGAAAGGTTCTGCTAGAGAAAGTTTAAAAATAGGAATAAGATGATTAAAGTGAGATAAATCAGAAGTATTTAATAAGGACCTTAATGAAGCTGAAGAAACACAACCAGTAGAAGTAGAGCTGTAAGGAAGAAGTACTTGGTGAGAATGAGGCATTAGAAATGAGTGCTGAAACGCTGCAGTTAAGCTGCTCTGATACCTGGTTCACTACTCGGAACTTAGTAGTAGCAGCACCTTTGCTATCACAAGAGTGAATGATTAGGCTGGTCTCAGTCATTTTCTACAATACCGCTATAATTTTAGTCCCCTGTTTGAGATGACCTGTTGGAAATGTGGTCTTTTGTTTGTTTGTTTCTTTGAGACACAGTTTTACTCTGTCACCAAGTCTAGTGCAGTGGCACGATCTTGGTTCACTGTAACCTTTGCCTCCCTGGTTCAAGTGATTCTCCTGCCTCAGCCTCCCGAGTAGCTGGGATCACAGCTGCACGTCACCACACCCGGCTAATTTTTGTATTATTAGTAGGGACGAGGTTTCAACATGTTGGCCAAGCTGGTCTCAAACACCTGACCTCAAGTGATTCACCCACCTTGGCCTCTCAAAGTGCTGGGATTACAGGCATGAGCCACCACACCTGGCCAGAAATGTACTGTGTTTTAAATCTCTCTCAGTAAGTCCAAGTAGTAATGCTGGAAAACAAGTATCATTAGTCTTAAGCTTTATATGTATCTCAGACTTTGCTTGTCTTTCTGTGCTTATTTTTAAAGTATCCAAAGATACTTCATTAGTTACCACAGGTTGAGTATCCCAAATAAAAAATGCTCTAAAATCTGAAACATTTTGAGCACTGAGGTGACTCTCAAGAGTGTTCATTGGAGGATTTTGGATTTTTACATTTAGGGATGCTCAGCCCATAAGTATGTAATACAAGTATTCCAAAATCAGAAACACTTCTGGTCCCAAGCATTTCGGATGATGTGTGTCTTTGAAAAAGTGTTAATGTCCTTTGTCCACTTTTTAATGAGGTTGGTTTTTTGTAATTTTTTACTTTAAGTTCTAAGGTACATGTGCAGAATGTGCAAGTTTGTTATATAGGTATACACATGCCATGGTGGTTTGCTGCATCCATCACCCTGTCATCTACATTAGGTATTTCTCCTAATGCTATCCCCTCCCAAGCCCCCCACCCCCGACAGGCCCTGTAATGAGTTTTATTGTAAAATGTATTTGCAACTTGGACTGGGGAAAACTTGATTTGTTTGTTCTAAAGTATTTTAATAACTCTTCTCACATTATTGAATGGTATTTTTCCCCCCAGGAAATGGATTTGTAAACTCAAGAGCTTCTCCAAATTTGATTGGCGCTACTGGTGCAAATAGTTTAGGCAAAGTCATGCCTACAAAGTCTCCCCCTCCACCAGGTGGTGGTAATCTTGGAATGAACAGTAGAAAACCAGATCTTCGAGTTGTCATCCCCCCTTCAAGCAAGGGCATGATGCCTCCACTAGTAAGTTGAACCTTTCTTCAACCTCATTTTTAAAACACGTGTTTTATACATAGTCTAGCTTCCTTTGGAATTTTCTGTGCCACTGTAGAATCTACATCTACTCCTAATGAATATTTCCATTCAAAATTAGCATTTGAAGAGACAAGTCTATTTCAGATACAAAAATCAGATTATGGAAATTTGCTTAGCAGTTATTTAAAATTAAAGCTAAATATGAACATGTGTGGAACTGGAGGTTATTGTGTTAAGTGAAATAAGCCCGGCACAGAAAGATAGATACTGCATGTTCTCACTTATATGTAGAAGCTAAAAAAAATTGATCTTGTGGAGATAGAGAATAGAATGATAGCAGAGCCTGGGAAGGGTGTGTGGGTGGGAGAGGGGATAAAGAGAGGTTGATTCATGGGTGAAAATATACACTTAGATAGAACAAATATACCCCTGTTTTTGATAGGAGAGAAGGGTAACTATAGTTAGCAACATTGCAGATGGAGTATATTTCAAAGTTGCTAAAACAGAGGACTTGAAATGTACCAAACACATAGGATAAATACTCAAGGTAATAGATACCCCGAAAACCCTGACCTTCATCATTACCCACTCTGTGAATGTAACAAATACTCACATATATCCCATTAATATGTAACACATTTTGAGTCCATTTTTAAAAAGTAAAATACAGAGATATTATTATGTTTAATTTTGATTTTACCAGGCTAGAAGCATTAAACATGAGTTATTATCTGTACTTTGTATACTTTCATTAATCAATTACACATGCTTTTCTATGAGAGAAGCACTAAATCTTTGTTAGAAAATTCTACATACCAGGTAGGGTACAGTGGCTCACGCCTGTAATCCCAGCACTTTGTGATGCCGGGGTGGGCAGATCACCTGAGGTCTGGAGTTCAACCTAGCCAACATGGTGAAACCTTGTCTCTACTAAAAATACAAAAATTAGCCAGGCTTGGTAGTGGGCTCCTGTAATCCCAGCTACTCAGGAGCCTGAGGCAGGAGAATCACTTGAACCCAGGAGGCAGAGGTTGCAGTCAGCCAAGATTGCACCACTGTACTCCAGCCCGGGTGACAGAGCAAGACTCTGTCTCAAAAAAAGAAAAATCTAAATACCATAGAACTATTGTAGGATAGGGAAGAATGCACACAAACTTGAGTGAGTTATTCTCCAATTAATTTTCTTTGTTTATTCCTTCTCTAACAACCTTTCTATTTAACTGTATAAAGAATGCATGTATCCTCCCTTCCACTGCTTGATGGTGGCTTTAGGGTTCTGGTCTCATTTGTTTTTGAATGTTAACTCTATTTATAAAGAACAGGACAATATGTTTATCCTCCTTAGCCTCTTGTAGAAAAAAACTAGAATATGTAATCAAGTTTTAAAACTTATTAGTTTAGCAACTGTTTGACTGTTAGCACACTAAATGATATGCCAGGCGTTGTCTCTGCTGTGCAGTTGCTAAACTCACCATTTGACGTTTTGCTAAGTGAAAGTGATGCTGCCAGGCTTAGATGATAATTCCACATTTGTATAATGCTTTATAGATTCCAAAACACCTTCATCTGTTTATTGTCTCATTTAATTTTCAATGTGATCATTGCAAGGTAAAGGTGAGGAAATTGAGTTAACGGTTATTACTTGTTCAAGGTAGTACAAAATCGAGCTAGGATCAAATCTCTTTAAGTCTTATAGTCCAGGTCAAATAACAAGTACTTTTTTATTTGGTGATACAGAAATCTGTAAACGGTCACTCCCAGCCTTGCAATTAAAACAAACTTGGATACACAGAAAGTTCATAGTTTTCCTTGAACCCATTATAGTGCTGGGATTTCAGGGCAACCAACTGGCCCAGATGCTACAGAGTCAGAGGTACTGTGGGGAGAGATGACATTTGAGCACTAGGCAAGACACAGATAGTAAGAGTTAATTAAGCTAGGGTGATTGGTGAATTGCTAGAGGCCAGGTGTACACTGACAGAACTGTGTGAAACTCCTGGGGCCACAGTATAACACAGGGTGAGTCTGTGTTCCCTTGTAGACTTTTTTTCTCCATGAATTCCATGGAGTGCTCAGAAGCTCCTGAAGAGGTCTTGCTGTGGTATAGAACTGGGAGAAGGGAAGAGTAGCCACTACAGTATCTTTTTTGTCTTCTTTCACTAATGTGGAACAAAAGCTTTAATCTGTGAGGATATGAACGACAAACATTATCACTCTTAGGGCACTGTTTAAATCCTGTTTAATCAAAGAGGCAAAATATCTCAACCTGGTAGAGGAATAGGAAGACATGCTCGGTAAGGAGCAATGCCAGGAGAGTGGCAGGATGACTGAGAAGGCCACAGCCTGAGGCACAACGAGAGGGGATGACTTAAAACTGAGAGTGGAGCAGTCACTTCGGGAAAACCTGGCATGCAAATCCCCACCTCCACAGGGATGTGAAGCTTGTAGTAGGTGCCCTGATGGCAACTAGAGCAACAGTAAGGCTCAAACCCAGTTCAGCTTCTAATGAAATTAACTCGGGTCTTTCACTAATAGCTTAGCAGGAGGGAAAAACCTGTAGGTCTTTTAGTAGGAATTACCCATGCTGAAATACAAAGAGAAAGAATGAAAACAAGACAAAATAAAAAAAAAAAACAGAATGAAGTATCCAACAGCTATGGGCCTTTATCAAATGGTATCACATAAGAGGAATAATATTTTAAATAATAACCAGTACCAAATAGGATAAATATTACTACCAAGGCACACGCACACCTGCATACAGATGCACGTGCACCCACACTCTCACTCACTCTCAGACTGCTAAAAGCAAATCAAGAGAAAAATCTTAGCCAGAGAAGAGATACATTGTATACAGCAAAACAAAGATAAGAATTAGTACCATACTTTTTTCTTCACAAACTATGCAAGCAAGAAAAATGGAGTAGTAACATTATTTAATGTGCTGAATTTTTAAAAAAATTCTTCTCACCCCAAAATTCTCTACCCACCAAAAATACCTTGGAGAAGTGAAGACTTCCTCAAACAAAAGTTATGGGAATTTATGCCCGCAGACCTACTCTACGAGAAATGTTAAAGGAGGCCCTTCACCAGGTGGACTGTGATGTCAGCAAAAATTTGCATCTACCCAAAGAAATGAACTGTGGAAATGCAACGAATGAAGATAAAATAATTAAGTTTGTTTTTTCCTACGTTTTATAAACCTTTTATTTTTAGAACAATTTTAGGTTTATAGAAAGATTGCAAAGATCATACAGAAAGTTTTTATATACCCCACACATAATTTTTTCTATTATTAACATTAGTATATTTGTCACAACCCTTGAACCAGTACTGATATGTTATTATTAACTGTAGTTCACACTTTATTCAAATTTACTTATTTTTAACCTTGTGTCTTTTTCTATTCTAGGATCTAATCCAGGGTACCAGACATTTAGTAATCATGTCTCTTTAGCTGCCTCTTGACTATGAGAGTTTCTAAGACTCCTTGCTTTAACAACCTTGATAGTTTTGAGGAGTACTAGTCAGGTATTTTTGTAGAATGCCTCCTAGTTAAGATTTGTCTGATGTTTTTCTCATGCTTAGATTGTGGTTGTTGGTTTGAGGGAGGTAGGCAATAGATTTAAGATGCCATTTTCATCACATTATATCAAGAGTGCCTACTACATTTAGTATCTCTTATCTGAAATACCCAGGACCAGAGTTGTTCCAGATTTCAGATTTTTTCAGGTTTTGGAATATGTGCCTTATACTAATAAGTAGAACATCCCAAATCCAGAAGTCTGAAATTCAAAATGATCTATTGAGTACTACATTCGAATGTCATGTTGGTGCTCAAGAGGTTTTGCATTTTGGAGCATTTCAGATTTTCAGATTTGGGATAACCAATCTGTATCGACGTAACTATTGCTGATGTTAATTTGGTCACCTCACGTAACTATTGCTGATGTTAATTTGGTCACCTCACTGATGTTTAACAGGTGTTTAACAGGTTTCTTTTCTGTAAAGTTACTCTTTCTCCCGCTTTTTCATACTATAGCCTTTGGGTAGAAAATTACCATTTGCAGCCCACACTTTTAAGGAGTGGGGAGTTAAGGCTTCACTTTCTTAAGAGAAGGATATCTACATAAGTTATTTGGAATTCTTCTACTCAGGAGATTTATCTGTTTTCACTCATTTATTCAGCCATTTATATCAATATGGACTCATGGACATTTATTTTAATACTTTGTTTTATAATGCAATGCAATACCACTTTTTTCTGTTGCTTTGTTCTAGCTTTAGTTTTTGAGGGCTATTCACTTGATTCCTGTGTCCCTTTGATATAACCTTATTTTTGTGGGTTTTTTTCAGGGGGAGTGGGTACTTTTTTATTTTCTGGCACTATAATATGCTCTAGGCTCATCTTGTATATTTTCTGTCCCAGTCCTGGAATGAGGCATTTCTCCAAGGAACATTTATTTTTATAGAGAATAAAGGAACCAAGATCCGAGTGCTTTCCCTCTTTTTAATTGCTCCAAAAGGTATCTGTCTATATAAGGCAAAAATAGTAACAGTATATTTTGTTTCTCTAGCACCTGTAAAGGTAAAATATGACAACAAAAGGTGGGAGGGAGAAATTGCCTCTACACATGATGTAAATATTATTTAAAGTTGAAATCTAAGTAACTAAAGATGTATATATATTGTAAACCCTAGTGTAACTATAGAAGAAAACTTTAAAAGAGGTATAAATAAGTCAATAGAAGAGATAAAATAGAAATATAAAAAATGTTCTAAGTAGCCCAAGAAATGGGAGAAAAGAAGGCAAACAAAAAGCAAGATAATGGTAACTTATAATCCAGTCATGTAAGTAATCACATTGAATGTGGTGAGAACACAGTCAGTTAAAAGATTGTCAGATTTGTGTGTTTTTCTTAAAAAGCAATGAGGTAGCTCACGCTTATCATCCCAGCACTTTGGAAGGCTGAGGTGGGCAGATCACC